CAGGATAGTTGTCCAGTTACTGCACAGGTTCCACTAAGATGACAGTTGTTTTTTTCAGAAGAGGGGGAGGAAAAAAAGAGTTATTTTTTGGCGGGATGAGGGAGATGAAGAATGGGAATAGGAACTTACTAAACACAATGTTCTTGATATTCCATAGACGGTAAAAAAGAATCACTAGTGTGCATCGTAGAAAGTGCAGTATGAGCAAGGCAGAAATACAGTCAGGAGTTAGACACTCATTTTATTTACCGAAATAAAATACTAAGCACCTTTTTAATAACTTTAAATGACAGAGCCCATATATGTATTGTACATTCAATTGGAGTAGTCTAGACAGACTGTTTTCCAAGGAAAATACATTTTCATCAGTATTTGTGGTATGATTCATGGTGGTGAAGAGGCGAATAGCTCTTTTTATGACTGGAAGTTGCTTTAACTTGCAGCCACAAGGAAACAAGTCAATGACCRGATGTCAGTGGCGGAAACTAACATTTTATAGTAATGAAAGTCTACACCTTATGCTGAGCTGAAGGGTTTATTTTTCCAGCAAAGTATCACTAACTTTCTGCTGTTGTTTACCAACAACCAGGAGACGTCTGTCTAATGTTTCACAGCATGCAATTGAAATCTGTCAAGCTCTAAGGCAACATSGAAGATTTTCAGGATGGCAGGAGACTGCGGTTTGATGCAAGTACTTGTAAATCTTTGTGCATGTACTCAGTGTAAAGGGAGATCATCTGTATTTTCCATGCAAAGTTAATGATAAGCAAGACAGATAAAAGATATTTATGCGAGTAGAGAAGCCTAGCAGTTGCAGCCTGGCAGATGTTGCAGGTCTTCATGCTTTGGCTGAATTTGTTTTAGATCTTTAGCTCTTTAGGTAATACTTGTTCTTGATTACATGGATGGGTCTTCTTGCAAGGGAAAAAAATAAAATGGGGAGTAACTTTCTTTTAACTGTTGCTGTGTTGTCTACCTAGATAAAAGGTATGGAAATACCTTCTTGTGGTTGTTGTAGACTTCTGTAGATGACACTAAGGTTTTTCCGAGTGACTAGTTGAGTGAATTCATTTATCCTAAGTAGAAAAAATGTAGTAGGAAACTGAAAGATTGTAGTCTAATTATCTGTCAGGAAAAAAAATCATATTCTGTAAAGGTGTAATAAAATCTGTATGAATATACAGGACCAGGCTGGTGATGGGTGTGTGCTTCAGACCTTTTGGGTAGTATCACAGTGAAACTTTTCCATGAAAAGTGTGTGCTAGAGCTTGGTTCTATCCACGTATGTTCATAGCGATGGAAAGGATCATGCAGTTGGGATCCTCAAGGTGCTGAATGACTGGAGTACCTTTGAGCCTAAAGGGATACCCACTGCCTTCCCTTTTACAAAGATGGTGTTGAGCAGTTCTGAAAGATGAGCTTATGTGCAGATGAACATTCGGATACCAAAATCCATTAAGGAAAGGGCCAGTGATTCTCTTTGTACTTGTTCTGTTGTGTAAAGAGTTTATTTTTTTAAAGAAACTAGAAAATTCTCCGTAACTAAAGCAGGCCGAGTGTGGGAGTAACATGGAATACAAGTATTTGCATTTGCTAAAGAACCTTCTGCTTTTATAGAAACCATTAAAATTTCAAGGGGGGAAGAAATTTCTTCAGCTCTAGGGTCGATGTGTGTATCAGAAGCTACATCTTAGTACATGTAATTTCACAGTGGTTGACCATCASGTTAAAAATAGTCTTGTTGGCCACACACCGTGTAACGTTTCTTAAATTAAAATTTAGCTGTGTCTACAGCTACAGTATGATTTGTTAAGGAGAGTGCTTATTGGTACCAAAGTTTGGGGGAAGGACTTAAGACCCTCTTAAGTGCTAGGGAAAGGACATGTTGTTTTTTAATAGTCATGAGTAATTTATCCCAAATGCTAGGAAATGCAGTTGGAAAGTGTGGTTGATGATTATTTTTAGCTTCATAAAGATTTGTAAGTCTTTGGGAAAAAAGTGAAGTAGTCTTTGTGTTTTCTGAAAAGGCAAAAAGAAAGATGATTTATATACTAGGTAGTGAAATTGCTTCAGCTGCCGTGCTGTATAATGAAGTCTGATTTAATAGACTTCTAGATTTTCTTGCTAGGGAAACGACAGTGAAGATCTTGAAGAGGAGAAAATCAGTATCACTGGATGCTAGAGATGTCCAGCCATAGTTCAGAGATGTGCTGCAATAGTAGAGCCCAACGGAGGTAAAACTGTGATGGAGAAACCCTGGAACGGGGTGCTCAAAATGGCTTCTGGAGTTGGGTGCTACAGTAGGACACCCATATCCTGCACAGTATTTAGCACAGTAAATTTAGTTTTTATATTCTTAGATAAAAGAAAAGGCCTTGAGTACAGATGTCCAGTGCTCAAATCCAAACCCACTATTATTTGATATCGATGCCAGGTTCCTGCCTTTTATGTGGAATGGCCTTGGGAGAGAAAGGCCCCGTATTAGCCGCTTACCTACTCCAGCACCAGGGGGAACTGTGATTCCTAGAGGCAGAACTGCTCTTCCCGGTCTTCTTTTGGAGGATGTGCTGTGAGGAGCTACTGTTTAATGCTGTTTGCCCCCCTTCACCTTGGCTCTTTATCCACAAGTGCTAGGCGGGCCACAGGAATATTCACACACACACACACACACACACGTAACTGACCTTGCATTGAGCTGCATACTGTGAAACGAAGCACATGTTTTTGTGGTGCCGGATAACCCGGCTTGCTGCTGAGGAGGGAGTGATGGGGAGAAGAAGTTGAGCACTGTAGAAACAGTGTAGCAGTAGCAGGGTAGTTCTGATGGAGCTGTTGAGTTGACTGTTCAGAGCTTGGTGCTGTTTTGTGTAATTCATACTCTTGGAAAAGCTTAAGTAACTCAAGTGTTTGTAGAATTGCAGCTTTCTTTTAAATTGCTGAGGTTCATCACATGAGATGGGATTTTTTTTTTTTTTGTATGTGTATCTTCTAAAAGAGAAATGTTAGCCATTACTGCTTAAAAACAAGCACTGAGTGTTTAACTCTTCCACCCCCAGTACATACAACCAGGAACAGCCTTTCCCCTCATTCTTCCACATCTAGGAGATCATGATGGAACAAGGACATGTTAAACCGAATGGCTGATTGCTTTCATTGCTCATGCTCCCTTATGTGATTAATGGAGAATTAATGGAGAATTTCTCATACATTTGCTACTATACTTCAAACTCGTTGACATCACCTTGTTGTTGTTATAATAAGAAGTGTTTTTAAAAGAAAATTTTAAACTTCTTCCTAATTTGTAGTATTTTTGACATCTTGGGAGCTGATGTCCAAAGTGCAGTCAGTAACTTAAAAGGTCAATTAAATATCAAGTAAGGTGTGGAGTATGGCCAAACTCCTTCATGTCTTTTTTTTAGAATTCATTCTTTCTACTAGTGCAGTAAGTAAGGAGTTCACCAAGAGAAATAATACCCTATTCCCAGGATTTACAGCCTTGTTAGTTTTATCTAGCAGGAAAGTATTTCCATAAAATGTTCACTAGACGAGCAGTGTGCCCCTGCTTGCTGTCCTGCAGAAAAAAATCTGAGTCAGCAGGATGGGAAGCAGATGGAAAGGAAAAGTGGAAGAATAAGGCTTGGCAGAAAACAATTTCTAGAAGTGCAGGAAAGCAGTTCAGAGTCTCACAAAGCAGAGAGTAGAGGAAAAGATGCTTCAAAATGCACCACAGGAGATGCATATTTTGGGCTTAAAGATGTATACAAAAAAAAAAAAAAAAAAGGCGCTAATATTCCCGAGAAAAAGCCCAAGAAACCTCAGTTTAGACACACTTTCCTTTTCTTCCTAAGAGGACATGTGCCCAGACCTCTGTAGGAAATCTGGCTGCCAGCTGGTACGTCACCTTTCAGAGACCTTTTATATTTTCAGACCTGGCCATCTCTGTCATGACCATCTGTATTAGGCTGCTGTTTGTAGTATCTGTTAAACTGCATTTTAATATTTAATTTAAAGTTTCTTTGCCAACCTATAAAGAAGGGCCAGGATATTCAGAGCTGTCAATAGTACCAAGAAGGGTTTGAATATTGTGAGGTCTGTGAACTGACCATTTTTGCTTTGTTAATTCCCCTCTTTAGGTTTTTGAGGGGCTCTTGGATATTAACATGTATGACAAAATACCTTGTCTACGTATTTCAAATACATATATTGAGAAGAGGCTGGAATAAATCCCTTGTAATGACAGTAGAATTCCGGCGTATTAGAGTTGGTGTTAAAACTGGCGGCAGCCTTGCTTTGTGTGCTGCCTTTAATTTCTTCAAGGGCAGGAGGCTCAAAATGTTGTGTCTGACCCTGTACTGCAGAAAGGTTTGCCCAGGCACCTCTAACTTAATGTGGGAGAGCAGATTTGCCTCCGTTGCTGAGACCGGAGCTGCCACATCCAACTTTTTTCGCTGTATCCCTCGGCGAGCTTGGGGAACGTGCCCSGAGAGCCCTCTTGGTCGCAGGCCGAGCTGCTCTTGCTGAGGGCTGGTGATGACAGGCAGCCTGTTTGCGTTCATTTAATACTAGGAAAAAAGGCACCGCAAAGCTGGAAGAGGCAGAGCGGCCACTGCTGTGTGGCAGCCGCCTGTCCAGCGTGGCTCTGCTTCGCTGTGCAGCAAGCCCAATTCTAAGCTTACATCGATTTCCATCTGTTAAACTTGTCCTTGTGTAGAGTCTGTCTGTTTTTTTTTTTTTTGTGTTTGCTGGTAGCTGGTGTTCGCTGTTAGTGTAGCTCTCATTGGAAAATGGATTTATTTTGGGTACGCTTCTAGAATCGTTTGTAAAATTACTTGCATTAGAAGAGGAAAAGCAAATATTAAGTATAATGATGGTGAATTGCTGCATTCAAGGCTTAATTGACGGGGGTCCGTAGTGTAGAGCTGTAATGTTGAAAAGCTTGTCATTTACATGAAGGTCATTAGTGTTTCTTTGAATTTCCCGCTAATAATTTTTCTATTCAGCTTTTCGTTGTAGCCTCCAGTTTCTTGGAAACGTTGCAGCAGGAAATGGAGATTCCCAGAATAGCATTTGGAAGTGTGCTTTCCCAGATCTCTTCTTGTAAGCATGGATGCGGGTTTTTTTTTTCTTTTTTTTTAATAGTATAATTTCTGTGGTTATATTCAGATCTTCTGTACATGGTTGTTGTCCTTCTATTCACACTGTAAAGTTTTGAAAAATAACTTTGGGGAGAATGGGACAGTTGAGACCATATCCTGGAGATGTTTTTTTTTGTTAGTCAACCGCAGGGGTCAGGACCTTTAAAGACCTGCTTGCTCTAAGCCGTACAGCAGATTGATTTCATTTAGCAGAGACTGGAAGAAAATTCTCTTTTAAATAATGAACTTCAAATCTAAGCCTTGTTTCAGATTTCAGGGATGTTTTCAAATAGTTAGACGGTGATCATTTCCAAGAACATAACTTTTCCTTTATTCACATTGMTGCTGTGCAAAACTGCTGGGATTTGGGATCAGATGGAATGTACAAAGTTGACTTCWTTTTTTTTTTTTATATCTTCTAATCCTTATGCTCCCATCCTAACAACCCCCAAACCTTATTTTGTAGATTGATGACATATCCATAATGAAATACTGTATAATTTATTCTATGTAGACACTTGACGATATGGGGTGTGTATTTGTCCTTTTTTTTTTTCTGTTTACAGAACAAAAACATCAGTAACAAAGACTCCAGGTCATATTCATATGAGAGCCTATATTTGGAGCCCATTTAACCAGTATGAAGCTCTTACCTCCTGGTAATGAGAGCAGACAGTTTTAGTTCTTATAAGTTTACCTAGTTTCCAAATCCCTTGTAAGCTTAACTTTATCATTAATTTTGAAAATTACCAGTTAAGTTTGACCTTCAGAAAGTAGTATTTTTTTTCTTTTTTGTAGTGACTTCTGTGCTTCTCAAGCAGCCACATATTCTGGGTTCACGAAAAGACCAAAGCAGCTCAGCTCGTTGAATGTTATTATTGCTTTGCTCCAGTTTTAACCCTTGTTCTTAACTCTTTATTTTCTTTTGAAGGACCTGCCTTAGTTACAGTGATGAGAAAATTGTTGCCTATTGTTGCATGGTCCTATTCACTTGTCTGAATTCAGAGAGAGTGAGAGAACTGCTGGATCCTGGGAACTTGGCTGTGCCTCTCCGTGTTCTTCAAGTCTACAGAGAAGAGTTGGAGACTGAGTGGTCGTGCGTATCTATAGATTTCTTCTTGTTTCCCTTCTTAAATGATTGTTTCTCTGGTGTGAATCTGTGTTTTGGAGGTATAAAATTTGTGATGCAGGTAAGTAATAAATGACAATCTATTTAGAGGTCGTTAATTAGGAATTATGATTATTTTCGTCATACTTTTATTGACTCTATTTCGAGTTCTGTAAGTAAGGCATAAAGTAGCAGCATACTTTTGTGGAGGATATGGACAGGAATTTTAAAATCAAAACACTATTTCCTCATAAGATCTGATTATATGATGCAAATTCATTATACCTGTATGTTGGCGTGTGGAAATTTTTGCAAGAAAAGTATGGCAGAAAATTGTCGTAAGATTTTTCCTTATTGAACGTACAAGGWATATTCCTATGACGAATACTTGAGTACTGGATGCAGGTTTGGGAGTTCTTATGGATGCATTGTCCTTACAGAATGAGCGAACATTTCTACACAGAAACTGAGCRAATGTTCTGTGTTTTTTGAATCCTGAAAGTTTTGTTTTCTTAGCTGGAGTATCTAATCAGCCTATGTGTGTGTGTGTGTGTGTTAATTTTTATTTTGCTAATGGCTATTCTTGTAAATGTTGACAATTATGTTTTTGAGAACTCTTCTGTCCTGCTTCAGCAAGGCTACACATATTATTTCACTTTCATTTTCATATGAGGCATTCCAAAAGGCAAAGGAGTGGATGAAAAAGATAGTGAAAACAGAACTGTTTTTGCAATTTTCTTTGGAAGGTTATATTCAAAATGTAATTAGGAAGTGATGTTAGGATTCTGTAGCTATTTGGAAAATCTTCCAGACAGACCTAAAATGATAGAATGAAATGCAGATAAAATTCAATAGGTTTGTTTTGTTTTGATTAAAAAATATTTTTGGGGTAGAGTTTTTTCACAACCAGGTCAATTTACAGAAGACATAGTTTTCAGGAAACAAATGTACCTAGATTTTCAGGGATCAGATTGCTATTTCAGAAGTGACAAACTGAGTTTTTAACAGAATCACAGAATGGTTAAGGTTGGAAGTGACCTTTGGAGATCATCTAGTCCAATGCCTCAGCATAAGCAGGATCACCTAGAGCATGTTGCACAGGGCTGCATSTATAAGTTTGCCCTCAGTCAGTGTAAAAATATACTGCTGAAATACTTTGTTTTTCAGGTAATGACACTGATTATCTTTCATTTCTTTATATTGGAAATAGACCTAAATTTATTTTGAATAATGAGAGAGTCAGGGAAGTCTGAAAAAGGCTGTAATACTATCAAGTTTATATTTGAAGGTAATTGCAGAATAAATGCAGCATTGAGATACCCATTTCCTTTGTAAGCAGAAGTGTGTTTTGTGTAGACTTTGTAGGGAAAATGTCTTCCTTTGCCTTACCTCTTCTATGCTTATTACCTCTTCTATGCTTATTTTTTTTTCCCATTCCCCTCCCTGATCCTCTGCCTTCAGAGTAGCCTTGAAAATAATCAAGGCAAGGTTTTTTTTTTTTTTTTTTTTTTTTTTTTTTTTTTAAGATTGTAATGAAGGAGAAGAGGTAGGTAGAAAAGATTAACAGTAGGCCCACCATAAAGCAGGTTTAGTATTCTCAGCTCTTAATTTCCTTCAAAATGTTACGTTTCTCACACAGTATATATACAAAAAGCATCGAAATACCTTCCAGGCATTAAGAAAATTATAAATTTTTCTTCTTCATATAGTATTGGCTAATTTAGTCTCAAAGCTCTTGACTGTTTTCCTCAAGTGAAAGAAAAAACATCAGGTTCTTGGCATTTGATGCAGTGTTCTTGAATCTGAATTATAAATGGTAATCCATGCGTAATGTTGGCACTGTTTTCGGAGTCAGCACACGTAAAGTGCATTTGCAAATGCAAGTACRAACCAAAAAGTATATTGTAACAGTGCAATGCCAAGTATTGAATAGATACTCAAGCAGCATTAGCTTGACTGATAGGAACRGAAAGGCTTGAAGTTTTAGCCTCTTGTTGCCTTGATTTGTCTTGTACTTATTTTCCTCTGTTTCTTGGTCCTCATCTAAATTGTTTTAATACTGTTTCTTATTTTTTCCATTTGAAGGACATATTTTTTCTYTGTTTTCCCTCACTTTTTATTTGCTCCTATTGTGAGGGAGAAAGAAAAAGACATAACTGAGAGTAAATTAAATGGAAAAATGTGTTCTTCACATTAGAGATGTTATTATTTTAAAAAGTAATTTCCATCCTGAAAGAAACTGCAATACTTGGACAAAGTTTTTGCAGTATGAGATTTTTTTCCCCCAAATTATCGTGATTTCTGCTGCTACCATGGCTGTATTAACTCGGCATGTATTTCACAGGCAAAAAGTCATTTCTGTTTTAGCTTTAATTACAGAGAATATCCGATTAATCTTACGAATAACTGTGTTTTTACAAGATGCCTGCAGCTTGTATCTTGGATTCTTCTTGTTTGCCCTTGCTTTATCAGGTTCATATTTGTAAAGCACCTACTCAAGCACTTTTTGATAGTTCACCTGAAATGCACTCAGGCAAACCTTCCAGGCAAAATGTTTTTCTTTATTTTCTAAATTATTAGAATATGGGTGTCATAAGGATAGTCTTGAGGTGGATTTGAAAGCCCATTTTCTGTATTACTATTGATTCTTTTATTGACATGAATGCAGATGTCTACAATCTTTTATTAAAGCATCCTTAGTCACTCAGCATTCTCAGTCACTGAGGTAAAAATTGTCTTATAATGAATGGTTGATAATCTAGTTTATCTGTCAGCTCAAACATGCAAGTTTCTACCTTTCCTCGTTTTGAGCTACATTCATAGCCTGTTCATACTTTCTCTTCTCTGTGTTTAAAGTGTTGAAATGTTTAAAGCAAAACTTCCATTTGCAATATACTCATTTAGTTTATGGAAACCTGCTCATGTATATGAGGTCTTAACTTTTCAAAGTAAGATCTGTAACAGTGTAAGTTTGCAGTTTACTTCAGTGCTGTGTTATGAAGCAATGAGCTTTCTGGCTTGYTTTTTAGAGCACTGATGTAGACAAATCACGTAGGTTATTTGGCTAAGGAGTCTTCCTTCTGCACCACACATATAGCAAAAACTGTAGAAGGGGGTTGTGCCCAGGTTCCTGAAAGACTGAATATGTCCACAGAGATGGACCAGGTCTAGCATCCTCTGTCCCAACAATATTGGTCGAGGAGCTTCCCTGGCTGCTCGGTGACTTCTGTTCTAGTCAGCTCTCAGTCTTGTCACTGCACTGAATGTCATGACTTGTGCTTTTTTTAGTTCACAGAAGCTAAACCAGCTTGGAAACTCCTCATGCTAAGTCTCCTGTTGATTCACATCTACTGCTTCCAACTATGTTGCACCTCATTTCTCTAGGAAAGCGTTAGGAACATTTCACTGTTCTCTGTTGACCATCYTGAAGTGCTGTTCCATTCTTGTGGTGAGGCAGAGCAAGCCCACTCCACCCTGACACGAGTGGAGCTGCATGTCCCTTATTGGGAGACCTGGTAGCTGCAATGTAGACTACCTATGCCTGGGTTTTGAAAAGGCTTCCTGACATGGAATTTACTGTGAACAAAGAAGATGCACAATCAACAGGATTTCTCATTTGGGTAGGATGAATGCTGTTTATTTTGGCTGGTGAAATTCAACTGCTCTTTCCTTGTGTGTCAGAAGGTATCTTTGATAAGAGCTAAGCTTTGCTGTGTCAGTCCTGATATGCAGCAGTGCTAACACTTTATGGTAACTATTGGAGCTGTATAGGGTTTTATGTGTCTTATGCTGATAATAGACAGGTATTCCCTCATAAGAGACATCTGTCTAAAGTGTTTTTGCATATCAAAATTGCAGTTTTCTGCAATTGGATGTATGAGAGCTTGACGCAATCATTGCTTTGAGGATGTGTTTGCTCTAACTTGGATCTCTGTCGTATCGTTGTTGCTTTGGTATCCATTTTTAGTGTTGCATACAATCTTTTTGGGTAAACCAAGCATGAGTCTGCTCATGTTTGGTTTATTACTAAAGCACATTTTTCCTACCKAAGAACTGCGCCGTTTCACCATACGGAAGAATGTGCAGCCAATGCAGCCAGGTAAAAGTGCATAGAAAGATTTTTGTCTTTTTTCTCATCAAATTTAAAGCTAAACTCTGGACGCCTCTCTGGCCGGACTGTAGAAAAAATATTTTGTCAGCAATTCATTGAAAATTTGGAGCTGTGTTTCAGCGAGAAGCTGAAGTACATACCACTAGGATTGCTTAAACGAATTTACATAGCCGCGGTATTTGCAACGGAGCCAGTACTTTGTTGTAAAGACTTGGGTCCCTGGTGCCGCAGCTACCGCAGTGCCCAGCAACCATTTTCAAGCAGCTCTTATGGTATTATATGGCTGAGCCGAAATGCAAACTATTCTTTCAGGAGGTTATGCTCTCTGCTGGTTTCGCAAATGTCTGAATTTAAGATGTTCCTACTTTTCAAGTTAAAAATATTACTCAATTCCTTCCTACCTTCTTGTGTCTCAGCTTGAGCGGCTGGTTTCACATTACACTGAATAAAAAGTGCATGCCCCGTGTGTTTGCTCCTCTTGGCTGTACTTTTCTGCTGTCAAATGCTGCATTTAGGTATTGGAAATCTTCTCTTAAAATAACCAGGAGAGTTTTGTTTGTAGGCAAAACTGGTGTTCATGATTTTATTCTTTCCTTTTTATCATGTGCTGAAATGTATGACTTAATCTTCCTTTAAGTTAGCATCCAACAAATTCCACAAATAAACGCTTTTGATGCTCCAGCTATTTTTGCAGTCGCTGCCATGAACCATTAAGACAAAGAGAGGACATCCAGGACAAACATTTGGATTTAAGGCCATTGGCTGAAATGCAGTCTCTCCCATGGGGTCCATATTACTGTGTCAGGCCAGTGTATGTTGGGTTTTCTACCCTTGACCCATGAAAGAGGGGCAAGCTTAAAGCTTTTGTTAGTGAATT